CCATGATCCAAGTATAAGGTCCTCCTTCCAGCTCAGCTGATTACCAAACGATCTGTCAATTAAATTTTGAGTTCGCTCCAAGCAAAACAAACTTCTAAACCATGGTAGACGAATACAGTCGCATCGCACATGGGCTTGGACAAAGAACTGTCAAACCAATTTTTAAATTGAAAATTCTAAATGAAAAATTATTCAAATTTGTAAAAATTGTTAAAAAACGCATGCCATAACAACCTCCGATTGGTGTCGTATAACATAACTTATAAAAATGTACTTATTTTTGAAAAAAAAAAAAAACATTTTAAAATTTTTTTACATATCAATGTTCACATGCGTTGATACATCTACTTGTATTCTTCTACAGTGCAGCAGAGCTGTTATACATACAAAAATTTGACAAACATATTCGCCACAAAATTCTTCTGTCAAGGCAAAAAAATTTATTTTCGCCTCAAACATGAATTTTGACATTTCATCTGATAAAATAACAGCTGTTTTTAGATTAGTTCTCTCGAAGGAAGACCTTATAATTGAGCCATGAATGGTAGAATGATACAGGTAGACGCATCGACACAGCTGATGGGACAATGAACTGTCAAACCGTTTTTGGAATTGAAAATGTTGAATGAAAAATTATTAAAATTTGTAAAAATTGTTGAAGAATTCATATTATAACAATTACCAATTTGCGTCGTATAAGAAAACATTTAAAAATATACTTATTTGATAAAACATTTTAAAATTTTGACATATCAATGTTCTCAAGCGTCGATGCATCTATATATATTCTTCTACCATGGTTTTACTTGAAAGGCAGAATGATACAGGTAGACGCATAGACACAGCTGATGGGACAATGAACTATCAAACCAATTTTGGAATTGAAAATGTTGAATAAAAAATAATCAAATTTGTAAATTTTTTTGAAAAACGCATATTATAATAAGCTCCGATTGACGTCTTATAAGAAAACATAAAAAACCTACTTATATTTGAAAAAAGAAAACATTTTAAATTATTTGACATATCAATGTTTGCAAGCGTTGATGCATCTACCTGTATTTTTCTTGATCCCCCAAAAGAAAAATAATATAAAGCTACATTATTAATATGTTTTTTCAAAAATAAATAGATTTGGTGCCCAATTCTGTCAAAACATATACACAATTTTGAACATGGCAGAATAATACAGGTAGATGCATCAACGCTTGCAAACATTGATATGTCAAAAAATTAAATGTTTTTTCAAATATAAGTAGATTTTTATATGTGTTCTTTTACTAGGTCATTCGGAGGCTATTATTAGCGTTTTTCAACAACTTTTAAAAATTTAAATAATTTTTCATTCAACATTTTCAATTCCAAAATTGGTTTGACAGTTAATTGTCCCAGCAGCTGCGTCGACGCGTCTATCTAATTCTTCTACCATGATTTTGAATTAAAAAGTTAATAATTTTGAAATTATTTCACATTGACAAAAAAAACAATTGTTGCATATAAGACTCCGCATTTGGCATTTTAAGACTTCGTTACAGAGTTGCATTTTTCTTAGTTTCTTGAAGTTGAAAAGCTTTCTGGTTGAACCATGGTTGCTCGTTCTCACAATTATGAACACAACCAAACCCATTCACATGGCATTATAATTTTGTTCCAAAAATAAGGGCAAAATGTAAATGTAGTGATTTCTTCTACCACTTATATTTTCTCTTTAGAAACTTTTTCCATCACGAATTTTGAAGGGTAAAATAAGGAACTCTTTTAAATAGCATATTTGAAATGAAATCATGACAGCAAAACAAGTTGTCAAAACAAACTCAATGGCCCATTCTTACATCTTTTCTATATTAAAGTCCAGGAGATGCATTCTTGTTCTATGAAAATATGAAATGAAAAATATTTCCTTTATAAAATTTTTCATTTGACATTTCTTTGCTTCATAAAAATTTTCATTTCATATTTTCATAGAACAATTGAGGCCCAGTTTTGCTATCCCTTAATTTAGGAAAAGTAATGCTAAGTTCACATGGCACGTGATTCGCTCTCTATTTATTGTTCGACTATTAATTATTAAATATCTATTTATGTAATTCCCCACACAAAATTTGCCTAGGGAACAAACATTTTTATTCCTGTTTTCATTCAAATAACTGTCAGAACTACAATTAAATATGTCCCATTCCTAATAAATGAGAGCATTTATCAAAAAGTATAAAATATGACATTTCAAAATGCCAAAAAGGAAATTTCTTAAAATTTTGGAAAATTTTCAGGAAGATTGAAACTAATGAATGAAACATGTAATGTTGAAGGGGGTATGTATGGTAGAGTTATCATTTTCTGTAATTTACCTTTTTAAATTTTACTGCATAGAAAACAGATTCCCATCTGTGATTTGTGCATATACGAAGGATTTAGAAATATACATTTTCACAATGAAAAGTTGTCAAATTGACATTTTTGAAAAAAAATTGTAAACATATGATTGCATGACTTTATCTTCTTGATTCTACCATGGGCGTATGTACATTCAAAGGAAAGTAAATTTTGTTCTCTCCCTCATCGGAGGTTGACTTTTGTCCAGGAGTCTTAATTATTGCAGAAAACCGGAAACAAGGAGGGATTATTTTCAAAATTTTTGTTTCGACAGGAAAAAAGGAAAATACAAGCATATATTTAAAATGTCAACATTTCCACAGAAAGTTAATAACAAGAATGGAAACGGTAAAATTCGAGCATTTTGACAATACAGACGAAATCTGCTGGTCTTATCTAATAAATAGTCATCTCAGCTAAGGCCGTGATTGCGTGTATGAATCAATGGAATCATGGTAAAATTAAGGTCTTTGCCTTATTCTAAATAAGCATTCACAGCTCTGTGTTTCACGTTTTCTGTGATTTTCCTTGTCAAATTACTAGACATATAATCAGGTTCCCATCTCTGATTTGTGTGTACGCAATGGTTACCCTAAAATTTGTAACGATTGTTACAAATTGTTACTGGAAGTCGTCTGTTAACCAGAAAGTTCTGCAAAAGTGAGCGGTTGGAGGGAGACATTTGCGTGTATCAATGAATGGAATCATGGTAAAATTAAGAAGGTAAAATCATTTTGAAATAAGCATTCCCAGCTTTGCCTTCTTGTGTAATTTACCTTTTCGAATTACTCGATATAGAAAACAGGTCCCCATCTCTGATTTGTGTGTGTATACAATGGAAATTTAAATATAAGGTGTTTATGGTTACCCTAACATTTGTAACGATTGTTACAAATTGTTGTTACTTGTTACGCCTGTTAACCCGAAAGTTCTAAAAAAGAGAGCAGTTGGAGAGTGACATTTTGACAATTCTTTCAGTGAGAGTTTGCAAATTCTTGCTGGACAAATTCCTTTTTGCAACTCTTCTTCTCATTCATCGACATTCAATCAGATGTTTTCTATTGTTTGTTTATTTCTTTTTGTGCTTTCAATTTGAAGTTTTTTTTAGAATATTTCCATACGGAAAACACATCAAAGTAATATTTCTTTTATTGCTCATATTTTTATGTTATTGCTAGTTTTATTTTTATTTATAAAACTTGTGAAATTGGTGGTGCTTCTTTTCTTTAATTTTTTTAATAGGGGACAAATTTGCTTGTTTTGACAAAACAGCTGGTTAGTTGCAAGCTTTTGCAGGAATACCGTCTGTTTACTTTTCGCATTTTCCTTGCAAAAGAGAATAAAACAACCTTACTCTCTCAGAAAGAAGTTGCTGGACAATTCCTGTTGAAAAAGTAACCAGACACACCTATAAATTTTGACAAAGTTTGAGATGTTGTCAAGTGAATAATTTAACAGAAATTGTTAACATATAATTGCATGACTTTACCATTTTAATTCTACCAAGAATAGAATCATGTCCTATCGAAAAGTTTATCCAATAAGACCAGCTGATTTCATACTGATGATTTAAGCATGGTAGAAGAATACAAGTAGTCACATCGACACAGCTGCTGGGACAATGAACTGTCAAACTGATTTTGGAATTAAAAATGTTGAGTGAAAAATTATTGAAATTTGTAAAAATTGTTGAAAAACAACCTCAGTTTTCCATCATATAAGAAAACATATAAAACCCTACTTATATTTTATAGAACATTTAACATATTTTGACATATCAATGTTCGCAAGCGTTGATGCATCTACCTGTATTCTTCTACCATGAAATTAAGCATTTGAAAACGTAAACAAACACTTTGACATTAGTTGTGTTCCAGAACCTGCAAATTAGTACTAATTAGCACTAATTCTGCTACAACGCGTTCCCGTACTCCAAAAACTAGCAAAACTTGCAGCTCTCTCTAGAAAAAAATGGCGCTGAGTGGTGCACATTTCTGCTTGTTTTAGCTACATGAATTTGGCCGAGCAGAAATGTGCATATTGTAAATTTGACATTTCATTGGCAGGGCTAACAAGGTTGAAAAATGTATTGATACATTTCAATAAAGAAAATGATCAACTTGAAAACTAAAGGAAAAACTAATATTTGTCGTGCAAAAAACAAAAAGAGAAAATATGGAGCAACTGATGTATTCACTTTTGGATGATTCCAGCAGTGAAGAGGACTGGCTAAATGAGGAATCAGATTATTAATTATTATTATAAATTATTTATTTTAACTTATCGTCTTCAATACTCATTTTTTAAATGTTGGCGCTCTTTTCAGTAAGGTTTCACCAGTCCGATTTAGGCTGTTTACTTCTGGAATTTTGAATTTTGGCATTTTATCGCATTTCTGCTAATTTTCCGTTCCCTTATTTTTTGAGCAAACCTAAATGAGAATGACATTTCGAACTGTTCTCTCTTCTGCTAGTTTTACTACTAAAAAAGTACTGGAACACAACTATTATGAAGGTTTTTCGATCTCAATTGTAGTTCTTTATAGTGATTTACACGACCTCTTTTATGGGCCTTGATCGGAACCAAATGAATGAGTGTTGGAATTAATTCCTGCAGTTCCTTGCAATGAAAATTTCATTGAACTTTGTGTTTTGGAGCAGCATCTACATAAATTTTACCGGTCATTGACAAAACCGCTTTTTATTAAAGACAAATAATATTTAACATTAAATAAAATGGCAAAACATCATCCCGATTTAATATTCTGTCGTAAACAGCCGGGTGTTGGTTAGATTATTGCTTCGTCCAAATTGCTAACAGTTCAATATAACCTGTCTTCTTTTCTAACAGCCATTGGACGTTTATGCGAGAAATGTGATGGAAAATGCGTGATATGCGATTCCTATGTGAGACCATGTACATTAGTTCGGATATGTGACGAATGTAATTATGGCTCGTACCAAGGCAGATGTGTCATTTGTGGAGGACCCGGCGTTTCCGATGCCTATTATTGTAAGGAATGTACCACACAGGAAAAAGATGTGAGTATTTTGTATTTTTTGCATACCTACCTTTGTTTATTGCAATGTGGTTTTGTTTTACATCTAGCGAGACGGATGCCCTAAAATTGTTAATCTTGGAAGCTCTAAGACAGATCTTTTCTATGAGCGGAAAAAATACGGGTTTAAACAGAAGTATGTACAATTGTTTATCCAAGTTCTTCATTTATTCAATTTATTTATTTTTCTTTTAGCTACTAGTACCTTGTGTTGGATATAAAATATTAATAAGACTTTTTGTACAATTAAAAGAGATATTTTATTTCATTGTGGGTTTTATTTACTGTAGTGGAATATATTGGTTTATATGCTATAACATTATTTTAGTCCTACGTTTAGGCAGAACCTTCTATGGAATACTTCAGACACAACTTATCAAATTCATCCGACTTCTTGTCGAAGTTTTTAACAAATTGGCTTTTGGGATAGAATTGGCGTAACTGCTCCCAGTAACGTTGAATGGTCTCTTGAGATTTGCCGGTTAAATGTGCTAATACCATCATGTTAATTAATGTGTCATAGTCATTGTGTTTCTTTGTCAAGGCCTCGCGCAAAACAGCTTCAGCCTCCTCATACCTTTCCAAACCCAAATGTACAACGGCTTGACCGTTTAGTAACAAAGGTGTAGGCTTATATTTTTCACAAAATTCCTGGTAGATGTGGAATGCGTCTTGCATAGATTCAGTGCCCGTGGAAAGAGCTACCCAGGCCTGCGCTAACTGGGTTAACGTGTGGTCATCGGATATTTCCTGCATTTTTGCCACCAATTGTTTGGCAAGGTCAATACGATTCAATCTCAACAAGCACTGTACCGACAAAGCCATCGATTCCAAATTAGTTGATCCATGCAAAATTTTAAGCGCATTTTCAAACTGTTCATCATAACAGTAGACAATTGCTGTGGCAATATGCCAGATATTAGTTTCATCTTCTTCGCTTGCTACCTTATCTGTTAACTTATTTAAAATGTCCTCGATTTTATCTGGTTGTTCGAATGCCTCGTTTATGTAGCGCAATGCCAGAAGTGGTGTGTTATTGTTCTCCTTAATATCACTGGCAATCAGCCGACCCGAATCTATGGCCAGGTAAGACAAATACATGTATGACAACAGCTCCGAACCAGCAGCACCTTGTTCGGGCAAAACAAAGTTGACAGAGCCCATGAAATTCCCGATATAATATTCATTGCGGGCATAAAAAAGTGTAGAATTGGTGTCCTCTTCCTGTGCCATCTTGCTCATTTTATATCAATCTAAAATGTTAAATGTGTGAAATTATCATTTGCTTAGGAATATTTCATATTCTTTGTAGAAAACAACCTTTAATTAAACGAAATATTTATTTACTTCTCACTAAATTCTAACTTTATATATGACGTGTTAAGAGTAAGTGGGTATGTTCAATGATGTCGTATTTGTTAAACTTTGTAGTTATTGGAAGCGTGACGTATTCAATTGACGCAACGTCTCGTGACTATGTTTATACTAGCTTCATAAAGGGTAAAACGCTTTAGCTCACAAATGGATGATATAAATAAATATAAATATTTCGAAATAACACTTGCAATAGGAATTTCCATGGTACAATAAAAAGGTCCGACTTCTGCCAATTTTGTTTTTGAATTTATTGTTTTAAAAAAAGCAAATAATTTTCATAATTAAAGATATGAAAATCCAGTCATTTTATTTTCATTTTGCGTTATTAAACACATTTAAAAAATTAAAAAAATATATCAAATAAATAAAAATCACTGGTTCAAATAATATATAATAATCAGGACTGTATTTATATTCTTCCTCCTTATTATACCATTACTTAGTTCGGTTTTGATATATCGTCCGATTTTTAAAATCAAAATATAATTAAAAATATTAAAAAGAAACAGCATGTATTTGCGAACTAAGATTTATGCACAAGATTTTATTATCATCAAATATTAAATGTAATTTTTATCACCTCTTCGAGATTTAACACGACCGGAAACCATTTACTGTCATTCCAATCGTTGCAGTGAAGATCCTACATAAGCAGCTTGACATTATGGCATATTTATTGACATATGTCAGAGTCGCATAGAATCCTGTCTCCTATCGACCTTATAAATTGGATTAATATTAAATGCTACGATGCCAACATGCTAAGTATTAAGATGAGAATACATAAAACGCTTTTTTGACTGGCTTAAGACACCGTCTGGCTTCATCGCAAAAGAACAAAGGAGGATAGGGCAAAAATCGAACAAAGTGAACCTAAAACTCTTTTGTTCCTCTACGAAGAATCCAGTGGATGACTTAAGCCATTCAAAAAAGCATTTTATGTATTCTCATCACATAAAAATCTGATCGTGCACCATATTGTAGCACGTATGAACCTTATTGTTATTTGGCAATTTTGCCATATACAAACCGTACCAAGTACTCACAAAAAGGTAACCACTGTTCCATATCAAAAAAGTTAATAATTTGCTTTTTTAACGAGATAAATAAAGAAAATAAGAGGAATATGCAAATTTTTGTAAAGATGATAGATGGAAGGACGATTACGTTGGATGTAGAGCCTTCGGATACCATTGCCACTGTGAAACAGAAGATATATGAGAAGGAATTACAAAATCAACAAGAGGCCAACGCAATTGATTTAACAGAACAGCAGAGCAAGCAACAACAAAATAGAAGAAAAACAAAGCACATATAGTGCTTAGGAATGTTTTATCTGCACATGACACTTTTCATTCTTCCTAAAAGGGATAAGGGAACTGCGATAAATACATTAGCCGACTAGAAAAACAAGGAAGCTTAAATGAGATGACCATGCGAAAATTGAAGGATTGAATGAAGTAATCCTCCGGTTCAGCAGCATGTTATTGTGAGGCGCTATGAAGAAAATCTGTAATAAATATGGTTATTACTAATGCCAATATCGGCTGAAAAATATAATAACATTGTAGTCCTACTTCCAATGCAGGTGCTCATCTTGGAACTTAAATAAATCCAATTATTACAAAAATATATTTACACTTCATTTATTATTCAATCAGATTGAAAACGACGAATTTTGTAGTGTACAGAAGTACCATGGTTTAGTTTGGACTTTGCCGTAGGGAAGTAATTAGCTTCACTTTGGTGGATGGTATACTGAAAGTATTCTCACAAGAAGCCACTTAACGTCTGAAATTCAATATTCTATTCTCAATTATTGCATACAAAATAACATAAAAAAATTGATATTCAATATTTTACCAACGCAATTAAGAACAAAATATAGTTTTCCTAATATCAAAATAACAGCCAGAATTATTTGAATCTATGATTAAAAGAGAAAGAAAATGCAGTTATTTGTACCAAACTATAAATTAAACATAAATATAAATTAAAACAAATATGATGAAGGCAGACATAAGATAAGCAAAAAAAAAAAAAACAGATAAGTTCGGCTTGGCCTTAATACCCTCCACTATTTCGAAGGAACTTGAAACATTTCAAACAAAAAAAAAAAAACGAAAACTACCACTTAATTGAAACCCGTTATATGGGGGCTATAACAAAGCGTGGACCTGCACAGACAATTTTCCATCATAGTTCCCATTACGAACTTCAAATACAAATTTTGATACAATTCCGGAGAATAATGTCGCAAAAATCATAAAAATACGGAGTATCGGGAGGTACCGTCATATGGAGGCTATACGAAGACGTGGGCATGCATACGAATTTTTTTTTAAGTTGGTAATTTTCAATACGAAATTTGAAACGATTCCGGTGAATAATGTTGCTGAAATCATCAAAATACCGAAAATTGGGAGGTACCGTTATATGGGGGCTATACGAAGACGTGGACCTGCATATAAGAATTTTTGTCATAAGCTGTAATACCCATTACGAACTTCAAATGCGAAATTCGAAATAATTCCAGTAAATAATGTCGCTAAAATCATATAAATATCGAATACCGGGAGGTACCGTTATATAGAGGCTATACGAAAACGTGGACCGACATAACCCATTTACGAACTTAACCTGCCTACTGGTAAACTATGCTTGTATGCGATATTTTAGCCTTCTATCTCAATTCGTTCGAAAGATAGCAGGATTACAACAGACGGACATCGCAAGATCGTCATAGAATTTTACGCTGATCCAGAATATATATACTTTGTAGGTTCTATTATGATTATTTCGAGGAGTTACAAACGGAATGACAAACTCCATAGAATGGTATAAAAGGGTATAAAAAAAACTATTAAAGGGCACTTCGTTTTATATGGATTGAAATTCGACAACTTTTGGACTGATTTATTCAGATTTTCAGACATATCCGTTGTCCACATGCAAAATAACTATCATTGAAGGTTTCTAAATATCAGTTGAAATAGTTTTGAGAATCAAGTTTTTTTTTCATATCTGTTGAAAAGCAAAGGGTAAGTTCTAGTATTCTACCAACATTATTATGGTCCTCTCGGTAGGAACACTTAGGTAACAACTTGATACAATTATCAGACAATTACTTTGAATAATAAAATACTAAATGGGTTTGTATTAGAGGCTATTCGAAAAAGACATGTAACTTATTGACCAGCGAAATAAATTCCTCCTCACTAGTTGTGAATTATTCTACCTTAGGGGTTTACCCATATGGAAGTTATAGTTAAACTCCTTATGTTATAGTTAAACTCCTTACTTACAACTATTTAATATTATTAATATATCACAATTGTAGCTAAATTGTACATTAATGCGTTCCCAACAAAATCAAAGACAAACATATTTTCCATGTATAAAATTTGTTGGTGGTGTTTTTTTACAATAGTTTTTGTTTTTATTTGTAGGTTGAGTACAAAGAATTAATTATTAATTCTAACGCACTAACTTAAAATTTACACATAGAAAAAAAGAAAAAGGGAGATTGGATGACAGCTTCTCCCAGAGCATTTGAAATAGCGACAACCAAAAACATATCTGTTGTCCACACGCACAGTGCATTAATCTACTTCAACTTCTTCTTGGGACGCAAGTTGTTGGTGTGTCCACACTTCTTCTTGCGGCAGTTGGTAGCACGAGGATGGAGACGAGCATAGCACTTACGGCAGATCATCTTATCGCAGTTGTATTTTTGGGCCAAAATACGCAATGAAGGTTCAATGATACCACCACGAAGACGGAGTACCAAATGCAAGGTGGATTCCTTTTGGATGTTGTAGTCGGACAAGGTGCGACCATCTTCCAATTGTTTACCGGCGAAGATCAAACGTTGTTGATCTGGGGGGATACCTTCCTTGTCTTGGATCTTAGCCTTGACATTTTCAATGGTGTCGGAAGGCTCGACCTCCAAAGTGATGGTCTTACCGGTGAGGGTCTTGACGAAGATCTGCATTTTTCTGCAAATGAGATAAAAATATGATTTATTGCAATTGTAAACACACAAAAATTGTTAAACATTTCATAAACTCAAAATCGATTCCACGAAAATGCGACGTGTTTTCTTTCTAGGGGTTTTACTTTTTAGGTTATGTTTGGTTGTTGTTTCCACACGCATTATTTTTGACATTTTCATCTGTTTCTTGCACTTTCATGTTTATTTCATTGCACACACTTACTAATCGTTATTTTATACTTGTGGAATGTTTTTTGGTTTTATAAAATTGTAATTTCACAATTTATTTAAAAAATATTTTTCTTACCTTTAGAAACGTGCAGTCAAATGCTAATCAAAAGTTAAAAAGGAAAATAAAAAGGGAAATTTCCAACATGGCGGATGCCATCTGTCATTTTTTGTTAAAGAAAGTGGGAATTTTTGACACGAGTTGCCAACTGTGTTTGAGCATGATAGTAAAACGCAGATATGGTTCCTAATGGGAAATTTGCATTTAATTGTAATTTGTGTTTAAAAAAAATCAATATATGAACTTAAGAATTGCATATAAATCAACAGATAAGGATTGAAATATATATGTTCATTTGAGGCAATTGACATATAGCCACTGGATTTGTTAAGTGTGTACGGCGTTTAAACGTAATTGTTGTGTTCATCTTAGCTTTTTCGCTCCATAATCTTTGGCTATGTTCTAGATAATCTTTTGCTGCATTAATGTCCTTCCAAAACCCAATACGCATGTAAATAATCCAGAGAATTTCAAATTCCATTGCATTTATTTCAAATAAAATCCACTGGATTTGAGAATTGATTTCATTTGATGTATATACAATGGAATTGACAGTTGAAATCCATTATGAAAATACTTATCCAGCACATGATGAGGTTATTTAAATCTGAGTTATATAAAAATAATAGATTTTTTTGTAAAGAATTTTGTATAAAAACCCCATGGTTAAATTAAGAAGGTGTAATTGTGACAAGGTAACATTTCACAACATAAACAGGTTCCCATCTCTGATTTGTGCATGTACAATGGATTTATAATTACTAATTTTGACAATGAGATGTTGTCAAATTAATAATTTTGAACAAATTGTAAACATATGATTGCATTTTACCTCCTTTATTCTACCATGAAAACCCCCAAAGTAGAAGAAGGCCCAACTATGGGACTCTACAAAATAACTAACATACTATTTTTGACAATATAAATTTTCAAAAATTGTGCAATATCGGTCTGTTCCAAAACTGCAAGATTGTAAAAGTTTTTACTATGATATAAGATTTTCCTGTTGTGATATCGAAAAAATAATGCCAACCTAGTAGATTCTTACTGGTTCTGGAACATAGCATATGGCCCGTTCTTGTATCTTTCCTTTATAGTCCGCTTTTGTTATCCCTTACTTTAGGAAGAGTGAAGAATAAATTTCACATTATCGGTTTCTGATTACTACATCTTTCCTTTAAAATATATACATTTTTACAGAGATATGCAATGCTTTTTGCAAAAGTAACTGGTTGTCACTGCATTTTTTTAAATGGTATTTTCATTTTAGTTTAAAAATAATAAATAAAACGTTTTGAAATTAATTTTGTGAAATAAAATTATAATTCAGTTCTTCCATATAAAATAAACGATTTGCGTTATCTATTTTTTATTTAAATAAATTTTGCTGTTATTGTCATGTTATCAATATAAAATATGGCAACATGAATTCGGTAAAGATGGTCTGACCTTTTGCTTATCGGACAGTTCATACTTAAATGAATCTTGTAATAACGAAAAGCGATTTATGCGTATTTTTTCATTAAAAGCAACTGCAAGAATGTGAAAGTTTTTACTACCATAACCGATTTTCCCTCTATGATATCGAAAAACTGCAAAACTAGTAGATTCTCGCAGGTTCTGGAGCAGATAAAATATTTTTATTTAAAATTTCCTTTGATCTCTATGAATATTGTTCAGCGTTATTAGTCATGGTAGAATACGCGGTAGAAAAAAACTACAGAAATACGCACCTGAGGCTATGCAATTTTTTTTTTTTTGATTTATTTAATATTATCTTTATTTTTGAAATGAGTTAAAGAGCTCGAAAAATAAATTAAGTATCCCGACTTTCTTTTAAAAATATGATCCAAACCATTTATTCTTTCAATTCAATCGAAAAACTGGATAAGAAATATAATGCGCGCTCAGCAATGTGCGTTTCATTCATTCATTTATTTTGAAAATATTTTGTTTTTATTTTTCCAAAGGAATAAATACATACACAAAATTTTCAGAAGTCGGGCACATTTAGAAAAAATTTGTAATCAGCTGTCTTACCTTTTAATTGTACCACGTTATTAGTATACTTTTCTGGCAGTCATAATACTGTATCCAAATCTGGTTTGAAATATTATTTTTTTTTATTTTGATAAAGGAAGATAGATACTGCAGCAAAATCTTGAATAGATATCATAGCAGAAGAATTCAGGTAAATGCATCAAAGCTTGGGAGCATTGATATGTCAAAAAATGTTAAATGTTTTTTTTTTTTTTTTTTTCAAATATGAGTAGATTTTTAAATGTTTTCTTATACGACGTCAATCGGACTTGTTGTGATATGCATTTTCAACAATTTTTATTTTATTAAGGTTGCATAAAACAGTACAATGTTTTCACGCGTAATATAAAGTAGGTTACTTTGGAAACGTAGTTTATTTTAATTTATTTTTTTCAGCAAACAAATAACTCAACATACATGGAATAGCAATAGAATCCTGTCGTCGTTTTCACTTAAAATTTGACAATAATATGCCATGCACTGCACCAAGCTCCAATGTTGATTTATTATTATTTAAATACCTGTAGTGGGAATCCCTAAATGTTTATTATTGACAAAAATCTGTTAACAATTTGGATGTAAAAGTGAGTTAAAAGCAAACAAAATAGCTTTCAATCGGCAGGTCTTAGCTACTTCTTTACTTTCGCTTCTAACTTACTGAAATTTGATTAATCACCGAAATTATTAGCAATTTAAAAATTGTCGTTTGTTTTGTCAATCGGTGGGTCCTAGCTACTTCTTTACATTCGCTTCCAACTTACTGACAAATTTGATTATTTACCGAAATTATTAGCAATTTAAAAATTGTTATTTATTTTGTCGTTTACTAGTAGCTTTACTGATTTTGAAGCAATGTAAATGCGTTTTATCTTCAATATAAACATGGTGTTTTATACCAATATCCCATTGGTTGGCAACGCAAAATAAAATTCCACTCTATTTACATTCCAACTGCAGCTAACTTAACATGGTATTTTTAACATATGATAACATATTCACCATTCTCATATGTCTAAATGAGTTCACCTTAATGAGAGAACAATTGTCAAAAATAGTGTGTGCGAGAGAGAGGATGTGAATGATTTGATTTTTTAAGCAAACTCATTCATTGACGATTTTTAAGCCGCAAGTGTTTGCATTTGGAAGAAAAAGGCTGTGTTAAATAATATTCACAGTTTGAAATGCAATAAGGCAGCAAATCGACAAAGAAACCTCCGGAAGAAAAGGCACCTTTTTTGTGACAACTTAAAAAAAATAACGCTAGAACAGGAACATTGAAAAGACAACGTGGTGGAATATATACGTAAACTTCTATACACAAAACATTCGCTAATCTCTTGCAGTTTTTTCGTTCTTTGTGCGAACAGAACAGAAAATGCAAATTTGTAAATGAGAAATCTGAATAAAGATTTGCAATAATTAACAAATTATTATAATAAACAGCGATAATTATGTCTAGTGAAGCGCAACAACCGCAAGATGCGGGGAATGAGGTAAGACGAGAAGAAAGTATTCATTTGTGTGTGAACGGAACCAGAAAGAAAAACTTGGTTAGAATGCAGGAATGGTGTTAAGGTCAATGTAATCGTCGAAATGAACACGTACTCTTGTCGACAAACATTCGTTTTATGTCATAAAGAAATAGAACAAACGTGGAGATATTTTCATGCGGGCGTTCAAATGAAGTCAGTCATATTTAAGTAATAATTATGATTTAATGAAAAAAATACAACTCAATAGCAAGTCGTCATGCTGCATTAGCGTGTCCGACAGATCCATTGAATTGCTGGGAAAATTTATTGTGAACTTCGCAATTCGAAGGTTTTAATATAATTTCAAAAAGTTATTGTAATGAGGTAGTGTTTGTTTCAGTGCATTCTTGACTCATTGCGCCTTAGTATTTCAATGCTGAAAATTGCCAGGCCAATAGATTTCCAAGTATTAAGGGTGATCGTTGGTCTCTGGAAATGATCAAAATTTTTCCTTAACAATGACTTAAGTCCATAATCCAAAATAGTGTGGGCACTCTTCCGTAAAAGAATTTCTAAAATCTGAAGCTTAATAAGTCTAAAAGTATAAAGCATTTCTGCTGTTTTACAATAACATGCAACGTTCTGACTAAATTTAATCACTGTCGTCTCTCTATCTTTACAGGTCGCCCCTGCAAATGGTGAGGCCCCCGTCGAGGGACAAGCCCAAGGCCAACAACAGCAACAACCTCAATCTAAAATGGAATCATTTTTTGCCATGACAAAATCTTTGATACTTCGTGCCCTTATCATTTATTTTGTATCTTCATTCTTTAGAAGAGGTCAACCTGTTGCTAATACCAATGCCAATGAAAAATCACCTGCTGCCTCTGGTCCCAAATTACATGCTTGGAATTTCTTTGAAAATGGCACATTATACGATCTACATGTGTGGCTATCCGAAGATCCTGACAATGTAAATTTCCAACAAAAATCAAATCTGTTATGGTTGCAAGAAGATCTAACCTATGGTGATTGGAAATCGGGGCCTAATCGCGATGGCATCTACTATCATCATGTCAATGTTAAGGCCACACCACAACTAATGAACAATGGTTCGATTTATTTGCATACCTTTGTTACCAAACAAGGCCAATCGCCGGATCCAAATTCACCGAACTATGCCAGAAATGGAGTATTTGGTTATCAAACGAAGCGTCTGAATAAATTCAAAAAGATACGTGTAAATCGTAACTACAACCTTTTGGCCAGCGAAAAGGAGAAATTGGCCCAAGAATTGGCTCAGGCTAATTTGAAAGACACCATTGTTTCACATTGGCATCAAAATTTAACAGTTAATTTGGTTGTGGATCAAACGAATTGGGCCCAAGGCACTGTGCCACCACCATTGGATGAATATGTGAAATTTGTTGATGGCGGTAAGACTTACTTGCCCATTCTCTTCATCAATGATTACTGGAATTTGCAACGTGACTATTATCCCATAAATGAAACCACACCCGAATTACCCTTACACCTGACCTTCCAACCCATTGGTATGTTCAAATGGCAATTGTATGCTGCTCAACAAATGAAGAACAAATTTGCCGGTAATATGCTTGGTGAACTGATGGCTTCAGGTGGTGCTGAGGTAAGAAATGCAAAGAATTTGTTTGTAATATGGACAATTAATTTATTTTGTTTTAATCTCAGGAAACCGATGAAGACCAAGACTCCCTGAAGGAAACAATGCTGGAAACAAACATCTACTTGTTGGGTCTTACCATTGCCGTTTCAATCCTACACTCTGTCTTCGAATTATTGGCCTTTAAAAATGACATTCAATTCTGGAATAATCGCCAGTCACTTGAAGGTCTCTCCGTTCGCTCCGTTTTCTTCGGTGTATTCCAGTCCTTGATTGTGTTGCTTTATGTTTTGGATAATGAAACGAACTTCATGATTCGTGTATCCTGTTTCATCGGCTTGGGCATTGAAGTTTGGAAAATCCACAAAGTTGTGGACATCAACTATAGCAGTGATCAAAAAATATTGGGCTTGTTCCCGAAAATATCCTTCAAGGACAAAGGTTCATATTCGGAGAGCTCTACAAAAGAATATGATAACTTAGCCTTTAAGTATCTCAGCTGGGTGTGTTTCCCATTGCTGATTGGTTACTTTGTCTACTCTCTGGTCTACAACGAACACAAGGGCTGGTACTCGTTTGTGTTGAATATGCTCTATGGCTATTTGTTGACATTTGGTTTCATTATGATGACACCTCAACTCTTTATTAACTACAAACTGAAATCAGTGGCCCATATGCCATGGCGCATGATGACCTACAAGTTCTTGAACACCTTCATCGATGACATCTTTGCATTTGTTATAAAAATGCCCACAATGTACAGATTGGGTTGCTTCCGTGACGACATTATCTTCTTTGTTTTCCTCTACCAACGCTGGCAATATCGCGTCGATCTTAAACGTGTCAATGAGTTTGGTTTCTCCGGCGAAATGGCCGAACAGGCAGCCCAGAAGAAGCTCGAAGGCACCACACCAGCTGTCAAAGATACTCCAAAATCTGCACAAGAAAAGAAAACAGATTAATACCAATTGTATTGTGTATTTTTTGCGTATTGCAAGCATTTGCGGTATAAATATGTTTTTAGCATTTTATTATATAGACAATGTAAATTTCTAGGAGATTTTAATGAATTGCATCTGTATACAATTTTATCAGTATGTAGTTCATAATTTATAATAACAATATCTTGTGTATTTTTGGAAAACTTATTGCGAAAAAAAGTTATTGTCCTACATACAAAAGTGAAAAGAGAAACACAACAACAGAGCTTTTTTAGTTTATTTAGAATTTATTTAAGTTTTTTGTTTTGTTTTCGTTTTCGTTTTTTTTAAACATTCTTATTCCAAATGCATTAAAATGCGCATATCATTGCAACTCAATAGATATTTTTTGTAATTTCTTTGGTTTTTGTACCTTCATTTGTGTTGTATTTATCTGTTCTCACATGGAATTTACAAGTATTTATACCTACATATAGATTTAATATGCTGCCTAAAAAGCAACAACAACAAACAACCAAACAAAACCCTAGGAAATTACCCAACAGAAAGAATATACAAGAAGCATACATACAAATATAAATAAAAGACAAGAAAAAAATTAAGAACAAAATCAAAAAAACAAAGAAACGTTGAAGATGGAATCTTATCTTTATTGCATTTCATTTAATCAAAGACTGAAATCTACGATAAGCAGAAGGCATTTAATTGTTACTAAGAGTCATGTAGTTGTAGTACATGAGATGTGGTATCATGTATCTTTATTTGTTTGATACATTACGTGCCTACAAAATGTCTCTGCTATCTTGATGGATTATCCAAAGAGGAATGGCAAGAGCTGAGATGATGACCTACTTAATAGGCACGGGTATTTGTAATTTAAATGTTTTAGAAGATCGATTGATATATCTTTTAAAGCATATACAAACATTCGAAAATGGTTAAAAGAGGGTTTCGTAGTCAATTTTTAGTGGGAGCTGCAGGCGTGTGTTAGAAAAAATCTAAGCACAACAGAGTGTATCCTTTTGCTACTCAACTTGTTTATTGCTTTTACATAATCAAAACAATTCTACTCTCCGCATCCGGTGACAGAATTTATTCTTATGAAAATGCCCGTGGAAATATTTAGACTATGTTGGAAACTAGCTAATGCACATTCTGAAGTACCTGATGTTTTTAATTTCGTTGAAAATGTGGATAAAAGCAGCAAAATCTCGAATACCGAAAGGTACCTGTATAACGGGGATGTACGAAGATGTTGACCTCTTTGTGTAATTTTCTGTCATAAGTAGTGGCACCCTTTAGGAACTTCAAGTATTAATTTTTAGAAAATTCCGTTGAAAAGTGCCGCTAAAATGATCAAAATAACGATTATAGAGCATTACCGTTGTGTGGGGGCTGTACGAAGACGTGGACTTGTATAGGTCATTTTCTGTCATTTAATTTTGGAACAACAACAACACAATTGTATGGGTACTATACCAAAACTTAAGCCCATATGGATAGTTCCCTGCAAGGGTACAGGCTGAGATGAAAAAATGCAACCAACTTCAATCTGCTGTCATTGGCTTGTCCCACAGCATAGCACTTACACCGCAACAGAAAGAAAATAGACTCAAAAGAGCTAAAGAGTTGCTTCGCTTGGGCGAAAGCGATGAACTGCCGAATTTGGTTTACTGCGATGAGAAAATATTCGTTTTGCAGCAGTTTGTAAACAAACAAAATAATTGTTGCCAAAGAGGTCGGCTGAAAATGTGCACCATCCAGCACCAGCGCCCAATGGTCACCAAAATCTCCGGATACCAATCCGTTGGACTATTGTGCCTGGAGTATTTTGGAAAGCAAGATTGGCACCAAAAAATATCAAAGTGTCGATCACTTCAAGTAAGCGCTTCACCGGGAATGGGCCGAAATACTGCAGAGCAACATTCGGTCAGCGAAGGCCATAATTCGTGCAAAAGATGACCAATTCGAACAAATCTAAACTTATTCTAAAATTTGATGCTATTTCCGACATTTTTTGCTTTCATTCAATAAAATAAAAAAAATGTAAAAATTATGGCTTTTAACTTGGTTGCATTTTTTTATCTCACCCTGCATACCCAACATACTGAGAACACTAACTATTTTACAGTGCAGTTATATGGAAATATTTACCCATGGCTTAGTTACAGAAGGTAGAATATATTTTTTTTTAATTTTGGAGCCCCTATCCGGTCAAAACATACACAATTTGTATATGTTTTGTTTTAAGAAAAAGAAAAAAATACAAGTATTTCAAATTTAGGTGCAATAGAAATGCATATTTTCGACGTTTATGGGCAACAGATTTTATATTTACGGATAAATCTGTATTATTCTTCTATCGTAGATTTAATTTTGTGGAATAGCTGCAACATTTCTTTCATGTTTGGAATTTTTCCCCAATAAAAGAATTTTGAAAGAAAACATATAAAATAAACAAAACCAATTGTTGCATATTTAAAAGTCTATTTCACACTATTAGACTCCGGTACATAGTTGTGTTTTCCCAGTTTTTTTGAAGTTGAACAACCTTTCTTATTGAACCATGCGTTGACCTACATTTCTATCTATTTTCAATACCAAACAAAAATTCTATACTCCTAAAATAAATCAGAGTAAAATTTTATCAACCGGACGGACACGGATAAATCTATATAGAATTTTTTGTTTTTCAAGAATATAGTCTTAAAAGGAAATCCGGAGCGGAGTCTACATATTAACTGAAAGCATCAATGGGTTATTCTTTGATACTACGATACACTCCAAAGTAGAAAATGTTTCCGCTAAGGCGTTCTTTATACTGCCAATCGAATATTATTATGATATTCATTTTTTTACGAATTTGAATAACTTTTCATTAAAAATGTTCAATTTCAAATTAGTTTCATTGTCCCAGCAGCTGTTTCGATGAGACTACCTGTATTTTTCTACCATGGTATCCTCCTAAGGGTCTAAATACACAAAGATAACCCAATTTTCGATTATATAAACGCACTATTAACCTCCTTTTCCAGAAATTATTTAATCCGGTAAACTTAAGATGCACTATAATAATCATTAATTTTGAAAATGTTTTGCTTTTATTCTTCAAAGCAGTATATGCAAATAAAGAAAAAAATCTAATTAGGTCAACAATACGTTTTCGTAAGATACAATACAATGTCCTTCTTAAAAAAAATACAAATTTTACATTTTGGCAAAATTTTTTCTCCGCACTGACGAGACGCATACCTAATTTCTCATCTCTATGAAAACTACCATAAAATGCAACACTGCCATTTGACGTTTACAAGTGGGTTGAAGAAAAAATGAAAATTGTGCGTATATTTTACAGACGGAGTTTATTTTCATAAAATATGTAGATAATTGTGCAAAATTCTCCACAAATTGTAGTGAAATACATACATCAAACGGCAAATTACATTATACGCATAAAATTTCCAACCGAAACAACAATTTAAGCAGTAAAAATCTAAAAACAAAATCGTAAAAAGTGCTGAGGTGAAAAAATGTCAGTGTGTGTTAATGTTTTCTCTCTGTCTCGTTCTCTTCTCAACAGAGGAAGCTGATTGATGTCAGACTGACTGTTATTTATAATAAATCTTCACAAAAGTACCGCTATAAACAGAGAGGATTCATACTTTGCAAAATATAAACAAACCAGAAAATATTGCTGAGAGTGAGAGGCAAACTTATGAAAAAAAGTGCTGTGGATGAAAAGTAGAACAATTTTCACACGTTTCAAAGAAATTAATGTAGCAAAATGTATGGCGAATGGGTATCTTTGTCCTCGCAAATAACCGCAAACAGTTGTGCGGCTCAAAGTTGCAGTGTTTTAAATAAATTCCCAGCCAGTTCTGGTCGTGAGGTGACTGTTTCTGTGGTCAAACAATTGGCCACGAACTTGGGCATTACTCAGAATGCCGAGCCAAGTCATTTGGTTAAAGATGACGAGGTAAGTGTTGGCCATGAATTTTAATTATTATGCTACTATTTTTGTAATAAGTACCTATTTGCTAAGGTTTTATTTCTAGATGTGTGTTTGGATTGTGGGTATTGGAAATTATGGTCTGTGTTAAAAAAATGCCAAACATGATTTATTTTGTTTTTGGATTCTCTTTTTTTAATTCCTTCCACGGAGAATGGAGTTTTTGTGAAATGCAAGCTAATAAATGGAATTGAAAAATCTTTCGGCCATCATGTTGGGAATATCATCAGGAACATTTGTGGAGAAATCATAACCACTGCAGCCTATGGGATTCAGCTTACAACTATGTTATTCATTTCTAGCGATTGCTTATACCTACCGAATAATAGGTTTATGTGTCCTGATTGTAGGCATAATTTGACCCGATTGTACCGTGGCTGATTTGATTATACCACAGCTTAATTTGCTTTTTATAAAGACTCCATAACAGAACAATGGGAAGTTGTTGCAATGTTTTAAAATCCAAATTATCGCCTGTAGGTATTTTCAAAACAGCTTAGTCGAGGAACAAAGAATTGAGAGATCTTTCACAATTAGATTCCATAGATTGTGTAACGCTAATTTCGCGACAGTTCGAAAGAAAGAATCGCAATGTTGAAATGACTGGATGGACTGGGAGACAAGTTCTTCATCGAAGCTCTAATCTACCGGTAGCCATCCAGATCGTTCCCGGTTCTAAAGTCAAGGAATAAAGAATGAATAGGTCTTCCGCAATTAGGTTCTATAAATTGTGCATCGATTATTTCGAAGGACAGTCAATGATGGACCGAAGGCAAATGCAGAAATCTAAATCGCAATTTTTAAATAACTGGATGAGCTGGGAGACGAGTTCTTCACCCAGATCGTTTCCGGTACCGAAGTCAGACCAAACAAAGTTAAAAATGATTCAATCACGTTTTTCGCTAGTAGCCTCGAGTCGAGGACACAAACAAAACAGCCTATGCTAAAGATTAGTGTTTATAGCACGTAATGGAAACAAAATACTTCTCCATAAAATAGTATAATTCTGCCCTATTATCAGCATTCTGTATTACCATAAACTTACAGAAACTGTCCAAAGATTAGATCAAAATCGTAATATTTTTGACAAAACAAGATCGGTTCATTTTAGTGGTACCTGTAAATTTGTTAACAATTACCAAATATGTCCATCGTAATATTTGCGATAAAAATGCTGCTTCGTTCTTACATTTTTAATTCGTATTATTTTTTCTTCATCCAGGTCAATTGGTGTATGGATGTAATTTGTTTTGGCCTGTCATTGCCTCTGCAAGAACATGAAACCATCAAAGACTGTGTCAATATTTATTGCGAATGGATGACAGCACTGCATCCTCAACCAAAAATTAGTGTACCAAAACCAATTTGTGAAGATGCCAATATGTATTGTCGCAAAATTATCAATCATTTTCATAATTTGTTTGTGCCCAGGCAGGGTGAAAGTAAGTATTGTCGAAACTTCATTTTATACACACAATTTACTTACACTGTAATATATATCCATATACTGTAGCAAAAGCAGCTCTGCAATAGAAATCAAAATTTGTACCATATAATCTCACAATATCTTAACAATTTTTCCACTCATTTTCCTTTCAAGTCTTACCATTTATTTATCAAAAAGAGCTTGGTAGGTGTTGCAATGCTAGCAATTAGTTTTCTCTTCTCCTCCTTTCATTTAAAGAGTATTTTTCGCATTAATGATTTAATTTAATTAATTGATTTAAAGGTGTTGACACAATGAGTCGCCAAGCGGTATTGTGTCATCGTGTCCTACGAACTCTACAGCAGACTGCACAAATTTCCCAAACCATGGATAGGGAAACATGGGAGTCCTTGTTATTGTTTCTTTTGGCAATAAATGAGACACTGTTGGCACCACCCACCATTAAGGATGATGTTGGCGATCAATTGTGTGAGCGACTGTTGCAAGTACTGTTTGAGGTGTGGTTGCTGGCTTGTGCACGCTGTTTTCCATCGCCATCGTTGTGGAAAACGTTACAGGAATCATGTGCTATGTGGAGGCATCGTGTGGCTCTGGTAGATCAATGGAATCGTGTGAACATGGCACTGACAGCACGTCTTTTGGAATTTACTTATGGTCCAGCATTTCCAGAATTGAAAATATGTGAGTTGTTTTATTTATTTCTTGAAATCTTTATAACATTAATCATTTTTATTTCAGCTGATGAAGATGCCCAGCTTATACCCCAGGGCATGAGCAATGATTGTGTGGCTCAGACATGGTATCGCTTCTTACGTACCATTGGCAATCCAATTGCCTTATGTTCACCACACATCATCAGCAAATCTTCGCATTTCGTTCAATGGGCCCTGACCCACGACAAAGGTGCCGAAACTTATCAACATCCATGTCTGCAGGCACTACCTTTGATATTCCTAAAAGCCATCAAGGGTATATCAAATCAAGTTGATGCTTTCTTAGGTAAGTTATTTCTATTATCACAAAATATTTTCGTGGCAGGCAATAGAGATTTACTTATGTATTGGGGTTCTGTTTCTTTAGAATGGTTTTACGGTCTAGTTTTGTAAATACCTAAATGTAGTTGTTATTGTATTTTAGAAAAACATATAAAAGATAAAATCAATTTGTTATTCGTAATTATAGTTCTTTAAAATATTAAGAAAAAGTTTTATTGTTAAGGTGTAAGAAAAGAAATGCGAAAACAACATTGTAAAAAGGCCAAATTAAGGATGCAAGTTTTAAGTCCGATTTCGCCATGGAGATGAGTGCCCTCAATTTCTTTCCAGAGGGTGTCAGCAGAATTTTTATTAGAGACATTACATCCCGAGTAATGTTTATATTTTATTCGGAAGAAGTGATGGCTGCACCAAGTTGTCGATCTCCAAATTCATCGTTTCGTATCCACGTCTTGTCAATTCATCTGTTGAGTATTACCAGAGATAGAATGGCCTGGAATCAACAAAACCTTGATGGGCAACTCAGATTTTTTCAATGCGTCCCTACACTCCAAAACTGCCATAGCTTTTATGGTACATTAACTTAGTGATTTTAGGTCCGCTTGACCACGACGTATATAGTCATGGGATTGTTCTGTTCACTGTTTCTGTTTGACCAACATATCTATGGACTTCTGTCTTGAATACTATTCAGTTGTTGTTATGTTTAAAAGAGTTTCTGATATTCAGGCTTTCCCTGAAGACCCCTGCACCCGTTCACTTTCCATCTTTGGTCTTTCAGTGGGTCATCTATAGACAGAAAATCCTTAAATTGGCCTTCAGTAGGAGGAAGATCTTTCCGAGAATAGAATATCTTTTAATAGATCTTCTATGGTTTTCTTAACAAAAATACCCTTCACTTTGTTTTCTATAGATAGAGAACCTTTCAAAAGGATAATGAATGGAAGATCTTTAATAAATATCCTCTATTTCACCTTTTACGAGGATGTGTAGTTAAATATGTCGCCTATTGATAACAGGCCTTTTAGTAGGTCTTCTTAACAGGATTAACCTTTACCTTCTTGTCTATGGGGCCTTATAAGAGATGTCCAAAATTATTCGATCAATCTCATTCAAATGTAGAGGACATTCGGTCTCCCCCATTAATGTAGCCTGTTTCAAGAAACATAATTCTCAAAATTTCCAATGAACATCCTTAATTTCGCCTTTTCTGAGGATAGGTGGGTAATATATTTTATATACGACAACATTAAACATGTTTTTCTTTCATAATCTTCTATCACCTTTTTCCTCTCCTACTATTTATCTTGCACCTTTTCATTTCCGAAAACTTTATCACATCAAAAACAAAAAAATCCCTTAAAACCCACAAACAACTAGGTATTTATGTAGCGCCTCAACGTTCTGGCGATGATGGCATTACAAATCTTATGGATATACGTTCTGCATTAAATGAAGCCACAACAACGAGCAGTGGTGGTAATAGCACTGGTGGTAGCGCATCGCAACATCATCACCACCACCACCATCATCATCATAGTTTCTTTCATCATCATGGCAGTATTAGTATACATTTGAATAGCAGTAACTCTGCTACGAATCAACATAACACCAACAATAATTCGGTGGCGAATCAACAACAACAACCACAACAGCAACAACATACACAATCACATTTACACAATTTCATAAGTGGTCCTGCTAGCTCGGCTCTAAATGCTTTAATGGGTCATCATTATCATCATAATCATGGTACGGCTGCTGCTGCTGCTGCGTCCAACAACAACAACGGTAACAATAACAATGTTGCTGCGCCAGCTCTGACATTGAGTACTGCATTGGCCCAAAATAATTCGTCAATACCGGCGGCCAGTGGTAGCCAATCGGCTGGCGTATTGGGATCCATATCATTCGGTTTACCCTCGGCCAGCAGTGGTCAGGATCAACAACAGCAACATCAATATCAACAACAAACAAATTTGCCACACTCACCAACACCGCCGCTACAAAGGCGTTTGGCAAAAAGCTTTAGTGTTGCTCCCAATTTGACACAACAAAAGGGTGCGCTATATTGGCCAATATCATATTTTTCCAAACACAAATTTTACCCTACTATAAATGTTTACAATTCGCAAACTTTTGTTTTTTTTGTGTTTCTTACTCATTTTGTTTTGTTAGCTTGTGTTAATAATACCAATTTTTGTTTCACACTTTTCGTTCAACTTTTGTAATTCAAACCCTACACCACTACGTGGTCCATTAATCTGTAAAAGACCATTCTGAAATGTGAGATGAGTTCACATATACAAATAATCGTCTGCGGCTTCCCCACAAAATCCTAAAGAAAGGACAAATATGTACTTAATACATTCCGTCACTGCTTTCATATGACAGTGACATCCAGATCTTTAAGTTGAAGAATGAGCAGTGCTGGAAATACCGATCTAATTTTGCTTGTGTCTTCTATGCGAAATATTAACATAAATATACTTTCCGCCAATGTGGCATGCTGTCCTTTGTTTTTCACACCGACAAAAGCGAACTTTTATGTTCTAAAAAATACTAAATATGTGGAACTCGATAAAAATCAACTTAACGAGAACTTATACTTCGAGCATAGCCTTTATGCCCTTAGTATAATTTGAGTATATGAATATTTCATTTTGGCGAACCACTTTTTCGAATAGGTAAATAATTACAGGTACATATTATTACAGGTACATATTATGTAAAATAATCTCCCAATATAAAGGTTTTTATAAATATTCCACTAAAATTTCTCCCTTACCATATTATTAATACGCGCAAACGCGAAGATTAATTCTGTTCAGTATTTTAACCCACATGCAACTTAATGCAGGGCTTAATCTTGACCGATTTATTAGACATGGTTAAATTAAATTCTGCCCTACAATTCGAAACATAACCCGAACGTGAAATCCTTCTAGAAATACGATAATTTAAGAAGCTTTCTTGGGTCCCAAGAGATAGAAACATAGTGGGGAATGAGATGGCTGATGAATTAGCTGACAATACATCTAGCCGGTAATTTGGAGAAGAAGAACCTACTCCCTTCTATCAATTATTAGGTCTGATCAAAGTACCAAACATCTGACCTCAAAATGGTCCTGACTACTGTTGACCATGAGAAGATGAAGAAGAGTTTACGAAGATCAAAGAATCGGGATATACATATTGACTGGCCACTGCAGTATCACAGATTTGACCTCAAAATGGTCCTGACTACTGTAGACTATTGTGAAGATGAAGAAGATTATCAAACAGGACATATAGGTTATTTGGTAGGTGGGAGGTAGAAACTCTAACGTTCTTTTCAGATGTGGATTCCCTCATCACCTATTGGTTTGCTAAAAGCATCTCATGTCTATATACTTCTACAGAAACAATCAGCTGGCATTGAATCCAAATATTGTCACATCAAATCTAGTGAAAGAATATAAAGAAGAACTTGCTAATTTAGGTCGTCTAACCTGATTAGTTCTTACTTAGATCTCAGGTCATAGGGTTCTTGTTATCAATGAAAAATCAGATGACCTAGCTCGAGCGGGATCTGCATCTAACGAACAAAGACGTCGTTCGCAACAACAATTGTAGTAGTTAGGCCAGATGGGACTAGACTGAAAATATCGAGATCTTCATTGCCACATTACAACTTCAAACGTACAAATTCTTGTTTAGCCAAAATCGGCGGAAACTTACAAGACTAATTGCGGTGCAAATCAAAGGGCTATTGGTAAACATGCAAAGTGCCTACATATTCCACACATTATTATTCATATCTTTTAGAAGGGCTACACGATTTAAGACAACCAAGCTAGGTCTGGGAGACCTTCTGACGTATATCAATTCATCAAACTGGATATAATAACCAACATACTATAATCGAAGTAACAATCTCTTCCCGAGTGGTGAGGCACACGGCAAAATTAACCTACTAATTGAGGAGCGATTCTGTTGGAGGCATAATTATTCCCGATCAAATTTCACCATAAGCATCAAGCCTTATTATTTAAGCTACGATGAAGTCATCAAATGCTTGACTTAGAGATCATTGGTCTATTGTGTTCATCCTAGGAGACATCCTAGGAGACATTAAAGACGGGATGTTTTATGATATGTTTTAAAAAATGTTTTTCGCCTAGCCACTTCTAGGTTATTTCTCGAAAAATTTAAGCTTGTCTTCCTTTTTAAATCCTATTTTAGAATCTGTGGTTCCTTTCTTTTCTTGTTTTTTTTTTTTTTTTTTTTTTTTTTTTTTTTTTTTTTTTTTTTTTTTTTTTGAAAAAAGTGAAGGTGAATTGAATAGTAGGTTTACATGAAGTTTAATAGCACCTAATGATTTTACTTGTCTGATAAGGATACCTTGTTGAGTTCTCTTAGCGAAAGGTATGAATGCCATGCTCGGAGTCCACCCCATCCATTACAGCGAAAGAACGTCGGCTCCCTCGACAAATCAGAGTAGTTTTGGCTCAACTACTTTCTGTAGTGTCAGCTGCCGTTTTAATTCGAAATAAGCGCGAATTGATGAATATTTGCGAAAAGTTTGTGCTACGTGTGATACAGGTCCGCAAAATGCGCTGCATATTTTTATTTGTCCTGCCAACTACCAACTCGCTCCAGATGATCTTTAGTTACAGCCCATAACAGTAGCTGATTTCCTAAATCTGGGTATAGAAGCAGAATCAGGCTAGTGACCAATAAACATCAAATATATATTACTGCTACAATAGCAACAACTTTTACACAGGCCATATTAATATTTTCTGTAAAAACAAAACCATATACTTTACAACAGTATAAACCAATTTACAGAAATCAATTTTAAAACACATTATATTCCTCTTCTACTGAAAGCTGTTTTTTATTTAAAATCTGTAAAATAATGATATGCACTTTAAATTCACTGGTGAAGAGTGGTGGTGTAGAGTATTGCTTGGTCGGCGTGGTCGACTGAACATTTTATTTAATTAATTTTAAACATTACTTTTAATATTTTTCTTAATAAAATTTTATACATTTTTCTTGCGTATTCTTCTTGCTTTCACAATGCAATATTTCCTTTTGTAACTAACCACCTTACGTTTTGTTAATCTACTGAAAACTGAATGAATTTTTTTGAATTTCCATTTTTGTAGCTGATACCATTGTTGTTTTGTTTCGTTTATTTATCAATATTTTTTTGTCTCTACATTATCTTCTCTGTAACAATTGACGCCCCACAATTATTGTATTTGATTTTTCGTTACGTACGTTGTTTTTTTTAACACAGCATCTATTTTTTTTTTTTTTTGAATAATATGCACAGTATTATTTTGTTCGTTGAGTTTTAATGACAACAAAACAACGGAGAGAAAAGGTAAACGTAATTATTTTCAATTATTTTCGTTGTGAATGTTTTAGTTTGGCAAGTCACGCTTCAATACCCATCGAAAAAAAACAACAATAACTAAATTTAGGTGACAGTACAATTTAATTATTATTAACTTTATTTTTTGTAGAGCATCATTGGAAAGTTTGAAATTGGGGAATACATTATAACATACGTTAAGTGCAATAATATTGAATAATGTAGATATATGAAGTTATATAGTTGGACGGAATTAAGAAAAGTCGTAGGGCTAGACAAATAATACGAGTTTTCGAACAATACACTGTGGTTGAATATTTTGCATGTCTCTTTTAATTTTTAATGCCAGCATTTCTATCATGGAGTAAAGCTATAACGACAAACAATAAATGAAATTGCTTTTATAAAAAGAACAACGGTTTTAAGCTTGGCTATTTGCAACAACAAATTATAAGTGCTTAATTCCTGTTCTATGAAAATCTGAAATGAAAATTTCAAAAAAGCCGACAAGGGTCAATTTAATAACTTTATAGAGCAAACATTTTTCATTTCATATTTTTATTGAACAAAAATCCAGCCTCAGGTTTTAAGCTTTCTAATGCTACTAATAAAATATGGAAGATTTACAAAAGTAAACTATCACCATTATGATCGGTGAGGTTTCACTAAGACCTAAACGTTTATCAATTAACTTGGGATGCATTGTGTGGGATATTACAATATTTCAGGAGTATATGCCGTTTGGTACTTTTTTACGTTTTATACGGGTATACGACGTTTTCCACGTTTACTGCTTCTCGACAGTAGAAAATGTAATAAACTGTCAAATGGACCATTTCTGATTATTACGTTCTTCAGCTGTAATCAATGAGGGTAGGATCAGAGGACGCCATCTATACTGTATTTGTTGATGGCATATGTGACTGCATCAGTATGAATGCTGCTCTAGATCGTGTATATCCCTCCTGACACGCCTGGGTGAGGGGAGTTTTATCCACCATATGGCTTGGATGACTCCCACGATAACACCTAAGATGCAACGAAAGCATATGGTTAGGCTGACATACGTGAGGATCGAACGGACACATAGTGTCGCGCGATGTAGAATAACTTTAAAAAGTTTAGAATTCAAAATTGTAAGTCAAACTAAAAAAATCGCATGCGATAAAAAATATGACAAACATTAAAAAAATGTAATAAAAAATATTCACTTTCTAATTTCAATATTTTTACGCTATATTCTTAGATTTTATTCTTTTCTGGCAAGAGGCAACTCCGAATTGATCAGCTTTGTGAAAATTAGTTCCGCAGTTCTTGACTTATAAGCGGAATAACAAAGATTTATTTTTTACATATATATTGTGCCCATTTCGTTATTTTTTCCGATATCTTGGCTATGCATAACTGTAAATGTAAGAAATGACCTTTTAATGTTGATTTGTAAATTGGCCGGGATTAAAAATATTCGCGGTTTGGTGGAAATTTCCGTATTCTGTGACATAAAAGTGATTGGTAATTTTTCCCGCTAAATATTATCCGATGACTGTCCAAATGTTTAGGCTTCCAGCCCTAACCTCTAACTGCAAACTTCCGCGTCGAATTATCTATTGTGACCTGTAGAGCAACATCATCTGTTTTTGGTCCACTGCGAGCATCTCCAAAAACAATAGGCCTCTATTCTGACCCAAACCCCACTTCAATTTTCAATTTCGTGAGGATAGGGTCATGATTGCGACGTGTGGCATGATTACAAATTAACATGGACAGGAGGACAGACGGACGGACGGACATACATAGCTAGTTAAATAAAATACTCACCAAACTCGCTTTTAAATAAATCCATTGTTACGCAGGTTGTGTGGCATGTGACACCGTCTTGTTGGAACTACACGTCAAGCTCTTCTATTTTGGGGAAAAAGTTCGTTAGCATATCACAATAGCGCTCACCATTCTCAGTTACGTTACATTTTCGCACAATTCAAGAAGTACGATCAAAAGATGACTCCAGCCCATAAACCCCACCAAACTTTGACCTGGATGGATCGGTAGCTTTTGCAACGTTTCTTCTGGCTGATCTTCAATCTAAAATCGACAATTCAGCTTATTTAAGTTACCAGAGAGTCTAAAATGAGCTTCGTCGTATATTTTCATGTTCAGCACATAATTCCATGTTGAATTAGCCATGTCCGTATATTGAATTTATGATGGAGCTCAGAATATTTGGTATTGAAAATTGAATATATCGGCCCACGTTTAGGCATAGCAGTCCTCACATTACGCTACCTCCAGATATTGGAATTTTTTGCTTCATTTTCCCACTAGACCAGCTGTTATTTGACACTTCGAGTTATCTGTGGCAAGATTTACCCCTCAAAAAAATTTACAATGTAGGTCCGCCCTTGAGTATTTGTCCATACAAAGGCAACTCCTCCTGATTTTCGGCCTCAAATTACAATCAAAAACGCAGAATTAGATTTTGCGTGATCATTGTAGATAGATTAACATTTTTCGAAGAATATCCAATATAGGTGTAAATCAGTATACCTGTGGAACCTAAGCTCAAAAGCCAACAAAGGGTAAAACATTTTTTTTGCATGGAAATCGACCAATGGGGGTTTGAGATCAGTAATTGTTATTCCGCCGAGCTTTCTAAAATGGAATGTTGTTCTCCTAAGTAGGCAATTGGACTAAATAGTAATAAAGTCACCATAGTTAGGAACTAATTGGAGATAATTCGATAATTTGAATAAGCATCGCTCATTTTTTTACGATTTAGCCAAATCTTTGTTCGCATACATTAATATCTTCAAAATCTACAATATATTTTGGACTCATTTCTCATCCTGAATGAGGCAAAATTTCATTCATTTTTTTTATATATTTTATCCACATGTTCCATTATTCAACAAAATATTTTATCCACCATTATCGTAAGCTCGGGAATGCAATTCGATAACTATTGGTTTTTCATCCTTTAATTGATCTATAACTTCTGCATTACATTTTAATTCAATTTTAATAAGATTTCACTTTACCCGATTAGAATCGATTATTTGTAACACCTTGACACGACTGCTGCATGTGGATCTTTCATATTCCATTATTTTTATCTCTGTTAACTAACCGGCTTTTTTCCCCTGTTAATCAGGTGATTGATATGCGAATTTTGGCATCAATTAATAAAAACACGTCACCGTAATCCATATAAGGGTACTTCCAAATTAAAGAAACAAAACACAAAATATCGTTTTGCGGCTAGCTAACCCATTTAAACGCCAAGTCTAGTTATTATTGTTGTTCAGTGAGTAGTGGAGATACATAGATCGGTGTTTATGAAGTTAGAGTCGAGCAAACGTACCATTTTTTATTGTTGCTGCTACTGCAAATGAGGTATTTTTTTAAAGCTGTTGACTTGGCCAGTTGTTGTGTGAATCATTTCAATTGAGAGGTTTTGTTTATTTTTAAGTGCTTTAGTTGGGAAGTGTAAAAGTATAACATACTTTTTTTGTTGTTGTTTTTTAGTAAGTAGAAAGTTTTGTTGTTACATTTCATGCTAAGGGAAATTTCATTTACATTCAAATAGATTAATCAAATAAAAAATTAGTTATCATCTTTTCCACGACTAAGTTCTGATCATTACTTAAAGTTGTTAGACTTTTACACAGTTTTAAACATCGTAGTAAGCTTCCACGTTTTCTCATTTGTAGCCATCCATATAAATGTAGTTATAAATAATTACGTTTTCTTCTCTCCTTGTTTTTTTTTTTTTTGTTACTGTAGCAGTAGTTCAAAAATGCACCTCTTTTTAACCCGCCTCTTCTTGCCTTGAATTTTAATTTACTTGTTTTTGTTTTACGCCCTTATTCGTTTTTTAGGCTTAAGTAAATCCGCTCTCATTGGCTTGACAACATCCAGATCATCAACAGCAACTGCAGCGCCAGCTCCATTAACGCCAACATCAGGACCGCCCTCAAGCAGTAGCTTGGGCTGTACGTACTAACTAATGATGATAGCAAAAAAACTAAACAAAATTTGTTAATTATTATCATGTGTTCATGTTTTTCTAGCTTTACCTTCATTGGGGGTGGAGCAGAGACCACCATTGGCTGCCACACGACCCAAATGCAACAGTATTCTACATCTTTTCGGTGAATGGTTGTTTGAAGCCGCCCACATTGGTGGTGATGCTTGGCTCATGAATACCAAAAGTAGGTACCAATTTAAAAATTTTCCTTTACATGATCTTTTTATGTGCCGTTTCTTTGCAGAACAAGCCAGCGAGGCCAGTAAACGCCCCTCTTCCATGATCATGGAAAATCGCAAGGGTAGCATTTCTTTGTCACAACCAAATTCTCTCAATGATCCCTCCAGTCTGCCACCCACCTTGACAATTGATAAATATGAATCTGGCCGAGCCGAAGCCATTGGCACATTATGTAAAATATTTTGTGCCAAAAAGACTGGCGAAGAAATCTTACCCGTTTATTTGGCTCGTTTCTATATGGCTTTGCAGCAATGTTTGAAAATCACCGAGACCAAGGAGTGTGATGAGACATTGGCCAGCATACTTTTGAATTCCGCTGATTTATTCCGTTTGGATTTGGATGGTGTGCATGTGTTGTTGCCCTCATTTATTTCCGCATTGGAAATTGTTTTACCTGCCAAAGATTTGAAAATCAAAAATCAGGCTATGCAATTTAATAAGACCGAACTGAGACGTTCCGCTATACAGATTTTATTGTCGATCTTAACATTACCATTGCATTTTCAAACACTGCCCATAAGGGATTTAACAAACGAGGCATCGGAAAGGTTGGTGTAATTTTTTTAAGAAATTGTGGGAACTAAATTTTAAAATATTACAATTTTAGGGTCATTACATTCATCCAATTGAAGCCGCGTTTAATCAACATCCTAATGAATGCCCTCCAAGTGGAAACAGATGCCCAAAATACCCATATGTTGTTGGGTGGCCTTCTGCTGACCGTCCAAGATGCTGTTACCTTTGAAGAAACCGAAAGTTTAGGCGGTGCAGAACATCCGAATATTCATGGCGGCTCGGCTTCTCCGGGACATGGCAATGAGTCGAATATCTTGAGTTCAGGTATGTTATGGGCTGGGAATAGGGTATTCAATATATTTTTTATATTGAAAACATGTTCACCCTTTCCTTTTTATACCCTACACCACAAGGTGGTCAGGGTATTATGTCTTTGTGCATTTGTTTGTAACAGGCAAAAGGAAACGAGATAGACCTATAGTTCCTTTTGCTGATCTGCATAGAATCACATTCGGAGTCGATTTATGCATGTCTGTCCGTCCGTCTGTCCGTCCACCTGTCCGTCCACCTGTCCGTCTGTCCATGTATTTTTGTAAAGAAAGGTCAAAATGTAGATATAGCCGATATGCATTTTATTGTACACCAGGAAATATATCAAATACAGCTCAGAAATACCTTTGCCAAATTTTATCGAGATCGGTTCAGATTTGGATATAGTTCCCATATATTCTTTATCCGATTTCATGTTAATTGAAAAGGCACAAATGCCTAGGCAAATTTAGTAGAAACCGATTCAGAGGAGTGTAATCCTCTCATATATTAGTTCGTTTGGACTTTAAATTATAAATATAATCATCGTTGGTATGATTTATGATTCTCACAAATTCCCCATAAAAACTTTTATTTTTCAAATGAAGCTCTACTAAATATGCAAAGTGGTATAGGGTATTATAAGGCCCGCTCGACTTGAAGACTTTCTTTACTTGGTCTATATTGAAAACGTATATTCGAATAAGTTTTCAAATTTGTAATTGCTTCTATATCAAAAACCTATTCTCCAATACATTTGCAAGATCGAAAAATTCTTCCCCAATTCGATTTCTATATCCAGAAAATATTTTTCATTTTGTTAAATTCAAACCTTATTTTCCAATACATTTTCTAATTTTATTGTTTTTTTGGTAAATGTATTTCCCAATACATTTTCTTAGTCGAGAACATATTCTAGAATTCATGTTCAACATCGAAATCTTAATCTCCAAGAAATTTCCTATTTCGTAAACGAGTTCATTTTCTTATTCTAAGTATATTTTCCAATACGTGTTATGTTTCGAAATTGCATTCTCCCATGCATTTTCTATATCGAGATTGTATTATTGTATGATTTTACCAGTATCATGTTTTACATCCCACTGTATATTTCCCATATTTTTATTTGAATTTTAATTGCTTTTTTAATTATTTTGTCTTTATTTTTGATTTTATTTTCTATTTTGCTTTTGTGTTTTCTTTTTTTTATTATACTTTTTGCTGAGAGTGTAGCTTGTTCTGAACGATCTGCTTCAATAGCTAGTGTTGGCAATTCTAGTTTAGGTGCTCATAGTACTGCCACTATTGGCAATTCGGTTGCCGCTGGTTCAACAGCAGCTGATTCGTATCATGGTTCGGGCACATTGAATGCCCGCGATAATGCATCCCAACATGAATATCCCAGTCTAACGATATTCGATGATTTACCCTTGGAAGTTTTACACGAATATGAAACAGCTACTGGCTATGGTAAATAATTATGATTTATTAATATTATTTTCATTTATTTAAAAAATTTCAATTATTTTTATTCCTTTTCCAATATGTTGGCCAATGTTTATTTTTATTACAAATAATGCAAATTTTAATGTTTTAAATGAATTCTTGGAATTTAACAACTTTTCTAGATAATGCCCATGCCTTGTTTGTTCATGCCACCTATTTGGTATGTCATCGTTTGATTTCATCCTGGAGAACGGATTTAAATGTTTCCCTGGCCGCCTTGGAATTACTTTCAGGACTTGCTCGATTATTTATACGCGACACAGGTAAGAGTTTTTTGTTGTTGTATCAAGTATGCTTATGTTTTGGTTTTCTTCTTCGAAATATTTTGCGTTGTTTGCTAATATGACATTTATATATTCTTGGTTTTGGGCTGATGATTGGTTTATGTTGTGTTTTCTCGATTCCCAGCATTTGTTTATTTTTTTCTTATGTTTTCCTTTTTTCTGATTTGGGTTTCTAATGGCGAGAATTTATTTTGTACATAAATATATTTATTTTTTTTTTGTAGAGACGTGTGTGTATGTGCGTTGTTTGTGTTGTAAAGTATTTTAAAATCCATTTTATGTAAAGAAGTAAAAAAATGATCGGCAGAGAATAGTTGATATATTTAATATCGAATTAAGGAAAAAATAATCTAGAGAATATTTCGAAACAAGAAACCAACCTTCACTTGCTGTTGATTAAATGTAGGATGTTGAATGGTTATAACTTTTACGATACACGAGTTATCCCTACTATATCAACAATTAGGCTCATCCCGACCAGGACTTACTCCAGGTAATGGCTTAACTAACGACTCAAGGACGAGAAAAATGAGTTTATAACGCTCTGGGGCTGAAACATTTATGTGAATTTAATGAAAACATGTAATCCGGGCTTAAAGTCTTCCGTTAATTGTATTCCTCAAAATGACTGATGTCTTATATACAGGGTGAGATAAAAAACTGCAACAAAGTCAAACGCCATAATTTTTACATTTTTTTTTTAATTTTGTTGAATGAAAGCAAAAAAAAAAAATGTCGGAAATAGCATACAATTTTAGAATAAGTTTACATTTGTTTGAATTGGTTACCTTTGGTAAGAATTATGGCTTTAAACGGCCAATGAAACCGTCACACGCTGCCCGAATGTTGATCTGTGGTATTTTGGCCCATTCCCGGCAAAGCGCCTGCTTGATGTGATCGACACTTTGGTATATTTAGTGCCAACCTTGCTTTCCTAAATACTCCAGACACAATAGTCCATCCGAGGATTTTGGTGGTCATTGTGCGCTGGAAATGAAGCGAGGAACCTGCTTTTGTAACCATTCTTGGGTGGCGCATGCTGAGTGCGATGGTGCTGAGTCCTGTTGGAATGTCCAAGGTCTGCGGCCAAAATGTTTGCGTGCCCAAGGCTTTAACACACCCTCCAGAATATTTTCGCAATAATATTCGGCAATTATTCTGATGTCACGGTCGATTAATACGAGCGGAGAGCGACCATCGGCTGTTATGGCGGCCAACACGATCAGCTATACGAACGTCAATGGAATTGACGTCGGAAAAAGTGGACATGTAGTCGCTACTTTCAATACCTGCACCTAGAATATTCTGACAAGGATTCGTGCCTGACAAAAACGTGAAGAGTTTCATCCTCCAGCTTTCCATCCCAACCTTTGGGTAGATATTTAAAGTGTTGTAAAGCTTGAATCCAATGCTTTATAATCTATTATATGCAGTAAGTATCCTGTAATAGGTGTTTAAAATGTGGCATTCTGTGAGGATTACGTTATCGTTTCTGAATGTGCGGAACAGTCGACATTCATACAGCCAAAGTCCAGTGCTTTTATCGCGTTTTATGTCATCTGATAGGGTATCCTTGAATGCTGACCTGAGAAATAAAATTAGTCGCAGTCGCTATATTTTGATTTCATATGAAACTCCAAATCAGACTTTTTATAGACTATCCTTGGAGATTTCATATATATTTGCAACGTTTAAAGCCTGCAGAACCGGAAAATACTTATCTCCAGGTCATTTCGACCGCCCTGATTGATTGTCTTGAAAACTTATGTTAAATTCCGCGTTTAACGATATGTAAGCACCACATACAAAGAATAAGTTGAATTCAAGTCATTCGTTTTGAGTGAAAAATTCATAATTCATCCAAGGGCGAGGTACGGAAAGATGGACTTTTCTATGTCATCTGATAGGGTATCCTTGAATGCTGACCTGAGAAATAAAATTAGTCGCAGTCGCTATATTTTGATTTCATATGAAACTCCAAATCAGACTTTTTATAGACTATCCTAGGAGATTTCATATATATTTGCAACGTTTGAAGCCTGCAGAACCGGAAAATACTTATCTCCAGGTCATTTCGACCGCCCTGATTGTCTGATCAAGTCATTCGTTTTGAGTGAAAAATTCATAATTCATCCAAGGGCGAGGCACGGAAAGATGGACTTTTCTAAGAGTTTTCATACAGTTGCAACTTTCATCTTCAAAAAATACATATGTCCAGATCTCTTTGTACACCCAGGTTGACAGTCTTGCAGTAAATTCCATGTTTAAAGATTTGGAAGAATCTCAACCGAAGAGGTATTTAAATCATGGATATTCAAGTGATTCCGGGCTATGTAATATTGGGCGATGATTTTATACAAAGGCATGGAAGCAGTATATTTCCTGTTATCAACATGAAACCTTCTCTTCGTCTTATGTTTTTTTTTCATGTGGATGAAGTTAAAAGATTTTAAAATTACTTTACATAAAATGGATTTTCAATAATATCACTTTTTTATTTCCCCATTATAACAAAATTATTTATCATCAATAGTATAATTAACCCTAACAATAAAATTTTCTTTCTTATTTTTATTCTCTTCTTCCTTTTGAACAAAACTACTAATCCTGGGAATTTGTTTAAATATTTTAACAAAAATATATAATGGTCTTGTTTTGTAAAACTCATATCACCCATTGAAAATACATTAATAAATAAAAACCTGCTCTTCCATTCAAATCATTTTTGTATTATATCAATCGATCCATTTCTGTACAACATCAATGCATCAAATTATTTTATTCATCTACTACCACACTCATATTGTACAAATAAATTATACAACAAAATTGCTGCAGCTCGGAAATTTACTAATGGTAATGATCTAGTCGAACATTTTTAACTAACACCGGTTGTTTTTCTTCTTTTTTTGTTTTTCTTTCTTTCTCTTTTTCACCAAAATATTAAAAACTTGTCAATAATTCAATCTTTTAAAAATCAAATCATAAAACAATGCACACACACAAACATACATGTTCTCATTACAAAAATACAATTACCAATATTTTGTACCACCCAACATTTCAATTTCGCCTTCTTCTGTTCTGGTCTGGTCTCATGTGTGAACCTAACTAATTTATATAAAAAACTTTAATATTTAAAACAAAAATTTTTTTACATACATTTATCATTGGGTCATGATTCGGGTATATTATCACCAAACATTTTCCATATTTTTTTCTTTGTACATTTTTTTACATCCGAAACAATGAAAATCGGATCAATCTGAATAATAACCACACAATACATACATTTCAACCCATGTTCCATGTTGGTTGAAATCAAAATCAAAAAAATTGTTGTACAAATTGATTTGAAATTGTTGAATGCAACCAAACCATATTCTACCATACACAAACAAACAACCAACCAACAACAAAAAACATAGATACCTTAGTCAAAATTGAAGAACCAAGTCAAAATCTTACGATAATTTCCACAGACGCCTTGGAATGCAAACGGGCCGTAAAATGGATTTGCGATTATATCTGCTATCAGTGTTCAAGACCACCGCAGGCCCATAGCAAAGATTTGCACAGTACCATTGTTGCCGCATTCCAATGTACATCGGCCTGGCTGATGCAGCATCCATACTTGTTGCAGGATAAAGATTGTCTACAGACCGTACTAGAGGTGGTTGAATTGGGTATATCGGGTACCAAGAGTATTGGCAAACCGGGCGATATACCGAAATTTAAAGATGAAAAAGAATTGAAACCAGCTTCTATGCGTGTTCGTGATGCTGCCGAGGCACTGCTAACAATTATTCTGGAACAAGTTGGTTATTTTCCCAGCGAATGTGGTCCCGAATCGATTTCATCGCTATTGGATGAGGTGGCGCTGATGAAACATTGCAATTCATTGGATGCGGCAAATGGTTCTTCGATTAGCACCGAACAGGCAATATCGAAATTTAAATATTTCGTAACGGAAAATTCAACCATATTGGCATTGCTCGAAGAGCCGTTGGGCAATGACCAGGATCCGCAGCCAACTGTGACGTGTAAGTATTTGATTGAAACGTTTTTAAATCTTTATTTCAGAGATATTTTCAATAAAGATTCAATGAATATCGTTACGAAAGTCCTTCCAACATATTGTTTAAAAATCCTTGATTTGGCCTCCAAAAATATTCTTAAAAGACCCAAGAATTGTCCTTCAAAATATACTTTTAAAATCCTTGATTTTGCCTCTAAAAGCATTCCTTAAAAATCCACGATTTGTCCTTCAAAAATATACTTGAAAACCCACGATTTGTCCGTCAAAAATATTTTTAAAAATCCACGATTTGTCTTTCAAAAAATATTCTTTAAAAATCCGAGATTTCTCCTTTAAAAAATATTCTTTAAAAAAAACACAGTTTTCCTTCAAAAATATTCCTTAAAAATCCACGATTTGTCCTTCAAAAATATTTTTTAAAAATGCACGATTCGTCCTTTAAAAGTATTCTTTAAAAATCCACTATATGTCCTTCAAAAATGTTTCTTAAAAATTAAAAAAAAAAAATGGACATTTAGTCTTTTACAAACGTTCTAACGAACCTTCGATTATCTGATAAAATCCGTCATTGGGTTTCCTGTTAGTCTTTAAGTTTACCTACGAAACCCGGTATTTATTTCACTGACACTCCTTAAAAATGCTCCTAAAAATCCAGTATTACTTGCCTTATTTGACCTTTAAATTCAAAAAGTATTATTTTTAAATTTAGAAGAAATTATTCATTCAAAATTAAAATTTTGTTTTTCTACCGCAGTACTCATTCGTGGTCCATTTGGACGTCACGCCTGGACAATGCAATTGAGACATTTGCCACGCAGTAAATCTGGCACCAAATACCATGCCGTCAATCCGGGACGTCCGATACCAATGAATGAGGTACCACAACGCATTGAATTCGATCAGAAACATTTCCCCGAGGGGGTGGAAAAAGTCACACCCTGTGTTGCTGATTTCTCAATACCCACATTCGAACAAATTCGTGAACAATATGGTTCCGAGAGTATTAAACAATTGGAGACGATGCTTGAAAATCAAACTATACATGAGAAATTGGCTTGGGCAGAGACGGATAACAGTTCCGATTCATTGTCTCACGCCCAGGAGAGTGTGCCACCAACGGTGTGTCATGAATTCCAGGCGGCAAGGTTATTTTTATCGCATTTTGGCTTTTTAACATTCGAAGAAAGGAATCCCAATAGCCCCGCTGAATCACTGGGAGCTCCGCCGCAACGACCATTAATTGTTTTGGATACAAAGAGATCGAATTTTGCAACAGAATTAAATTCTCTAGATAAGTTGAGTGCACGTACCTATGACACGGTTCATGTATTCTATGTCAAGGCCGGACAGACAACGGCAGAGGAGATTGTGGGTAATATGAGTGAGGAAAATGTGCGTAACTTGGATCCACATTTTGGTAACATGCTGATGACATTGGGTATGTATTTGTCATGGCATATTCCTTTAAGAAGTTTTAATATTGTAATAATATTCCCCTCCTAGGATGGCCTGTTGATATTAACGAACATTCCGGCTGGTCTGGCTTGGTTAGTACATCATGGTTTTTGAAATCGAATTCCAGCAAATCGGAAGATAAATCACAAAATCGTTCCACGGCACCAATGGATTTTAAATTCAATGGTGAATCGAAAGTTTTGTATTGGGCTGATGTTTCATCGGAGATTGCTTTTGTGGTGCCGACCGAATGGAATCTACGTTCCGAAGTCGATGGTTGCTGTCAATCATCTGGTGGTGCTGATTCAACCAATGTTTGGTCGCGCGCTTCGGCAGATGTTGGTAATTTACCTGATGCCAACAAAAATTCTGCACAACGTTCTCGCAATCTTTCATTGGAATTGGATAAATCCAAGGATCCAGTGCCACCAACACGACGAAAGGCAAATGCCATGAAACCCGGATTGTTGGCTCAACCACCAGCTAAAATTTTCTTGGTTTGGCTAGAATCATTTGAGGATGTTTTGAATTTCCCCATAGGTAGAGTGATGCCTGAAATTTTAAAACATTAAATGTAATGTTTCCTTTTATTTTTTTGCAGAGGAACTTTTGCCCTATACCAAAACCGGAGAGGAATCAAATATTCTACAGCTACCACGGGCTGCCGATGTGCATGTGATTTTCATACACGCTTTGCAATCTGGTCTGTTAAGAGTGAAATTGCAAGGGCCTCCGGGACGTATGAGTTTTGCCACACCCCTGGTGGATGGCATGGTATTAAGTCGCCGTGTTGTTGGCAATCTTGTAAGGCAAACTGCTCATAATATGGCCAAGAGAAGACGTTTGGATAATGATAAGTAGGTTCTTGATAATATAGTCTAACTAGATTTATTTACATGAATTTTGTTTTTATAGCTTCCAACCACCACACGTTCGTCGCCGCCTCAAGGTACAGGATATCGTACAAAAATACAAAATGGATTTGTCGGAACCAGAGCTTTTGGCCCATCTCTTCAAGTCATCATTTTGAATTACAGTATTTAAGCATTGATACGAATTCGCTATTTATTAGTAACATATAAATTATTTATTTTTTCTACTACTTACAATTAGGATGATATACAACAATGTACTTTTAAAGTATAGTTTTTTGTACTACTTGATTTTTGCATTACAAATTAAATGCCTTTATTCTGGGTTAATGGGTTGTTTCCGCCTCAATTTGATGTCCTGTTTCTGTTGTAGTACTGTAAGTCTTTGTTAAACTCCAATACTATTTTTAGTATTATTTTTTCATTTTTCTTAGTTTATATATTAGAAAAGAGATTTTTCTTGTTTTTTAGAAAGATAAAAGCCCTTTCTTTGTGAAACTAAATAAAATAATATACAGATATTTTTCTAACAAAATTGGATTTTGTTTTAATGTGAATCATTCATCATCAAGGTTTTGCCGTCAGATGTATACAGATGAGTTATGATTATTCAAAGTATTTACCCTTTATGGGGGAGATTTCGAAGCAGTTGGCAAATATTGTTCAATTCGTATCTGACCTAAGACTGATAAAAATATTACAACGTGCCAGATTGGGACAATATCTAATACATTCTATACTTTATATGAAATATGTGGAATTTTTTGGAAAATGTGGAAATATGCGTCAGGTAACAGATATAGCGGGCCGAAGCATATTATTTTCATACTTCATCTTCTACAGATAAATATATTAGTATGTGCAAAAGTTGAAGGAAATCGAACATTTATCCAATTTTATGCGAAATTATAAATTTCGATAAAACACATAATCATATAATATTTCTGGTTAAGAGAAATATTTAGATTTGGCAAGTTGTAAATAATCGCCGATTTGTTTCGCAAGTTATAACAGATATAAGTAGTGGAAATTGTAAACCTTTGTGGGTGAGCTACCAGAAGAGGTTGGCGAATATACATCATCTTCACAACAGATATTGCGTTATTTAGATGTGTGAAATTTGAAGAGAGTTGGATGCTTATATCGTTTCCTTGGAGCGTTTAGTTTTTCAAAAAATTTTAACCCTATGTGGGGGAGGTACCAGAAGAAATGGTCTGATCTGTACCATCATTATAACAGATCTTGTGTTGATGGAAATATTGAGATGTACCAAACCTGAATGGAATCGGATGTTAGTTTCGCGTTTTATAAGCTTCATGGATATTCAAAAATTTGACCCTTTTGTGGGGGAAGTACCAGAAGAAGTGGACCGAAATATTCCATTTTCACACCTTGGGTTAATAAAAATATTATGATGTTGCAATTTGAAGACAATCGGAGTCTTAATTCACATTTTATAAGAGTTATAATTATTAAAAATGTGACCCTTTCTGGGGTAAGTACTTGATGGAGTGTGCCGATATTGTCCATTTTCGCACCTGACCTAGCACTGATGCGAATATTAGGATTTGCTAGGTTGGAGCAAAATTGGATTATACTCCCTCTTTCTGTGCAGTAAATTATTTTCTTTGAAAATATTGACATTTTGAGGTCAAATGATATATACCCTCTCTAGCCATATAGCCAAGGGTATAAAAAACACAAGGCCTACAAACACTGTTCTATTACACGGCTTGTTCGGTTCCACTAATATGTTTGTATATAGCATGCAATTCTGTTGTTGAATATTTTCTATTGGCGACGAAATCGAAATTGGCCTGTATGAATCGCCTTTGATGGCATCCTTGCCTGGCGGGACCATCCGCCCCATTTTCCAGGCTTCGGGAAAGATATGCGTGGCTAGCTACATGTTGAAAACTTTTCCCTTACCCACAGATTACTCATATCTTTTACACTTCAAATGGTCTAGCCACTTTTTCCTTTTATGCTCCTGTACCAATAGGCTGTCTTCCAATGTCATTTGCTAGTCCCTCTACCTCTGCTGGGGAATTTGGTCTTATTTCGGGTATTCGATTAGCAGGTATATAGCGAGTGGTTGCAGTTTTGATGATGTCTGGGAAAATAATTTCATTAAAAGGGTTGGGGCGACGTTCAGCGTTTTACGAAATCGGGTGATCGGCTCATGGAGACGATTATCGGGAGATGGTCTCACCCAAGAGAAATAACGGGTTTGCCAAGTCACATCATTTGTCAGGCCGGGTGATATTATGGTTATGTGACACACTCCTCTTCGACCGTCCGGAATATGGAACAGTCAATGTGCTCTGTCAGCGCTGATCCCCTATGGTCATTGAACAGAATGGTGTAACAGGAATGCTATTCCCCCACCTCCACTTCTTTTGCGATCCTTTCTCAATATGTTGCAGAACCAAGGTCCGGGGTTTTCTTCAATCGTGGCACGGACTGGAAGAATCTCGAGTACGCATTCCTGGATATGATGATCCCAATGCAGAAAAATAAACAAACACGAACGTATATACACTTAGGTGGCGCCCAAATGATTTTAGGACATTTACCCCTCTAGGAATATCATGCCATTGAAACCCCTTGTTCTAGGCTGTTATTGTCTTCTAACTGCAGGTTTATGTTGTGCCAATAACTTGGAGTACGTGTCTTTCCAGGAGTGATTAAAACGTTACGGATGTTTAGCTCGGAGGTTCTATGTATGGCTTTTAAGGTTTCCAATCTATAAAAAGGCTTTTACCAATAAAACCACATGAAGCACTCTTCCATAAATTCGCAAAATCCATCGTTTTATTTTTCAAAACAAGACCCCTCTACCCTCTGCCGGTTAAATAATTTTAATTGTTGAAATTTCTTCTTCTTCAACGACGAGCATAAATTACCCCTAACTCCCAATAAAAATAATTTTCCAAAGTTACAAACCAAAAACTTAACACCACAAGCCTTTCATTTATTGTGCTGTTTGTTGTCCGCCTTGTCGTTGCTGGGCATCCTTTAAAATGCCACCATTTGTACATAGTTTGTCTACTTTGTAGTTAATTTATGAGCTCCTAATTTTAAATGTTTCGATTCTAGAGAGTGGAGTGAGAGAGAGAGAGAGAGAGAGAGAGAGAGAAAACATGTGGCAAAAGTAAAACATGTTCTGATTTCCAGACACAATAAAGTGAATCTTGGGTAACGTTTGCCTAAATGCGATCAAGCAATGCGCAAAGAAACAAATTCCTCATGTGAAAGTCTAAAATGAAAAACCAAAAAAAAAAACGATACAATTTAAGCCTCAAGGATTACATAACAAATAAAACTTTGTCCGCACACACACATGCATGCATAGGACTTAAATGAACAAACGTTAATATGTACCAGTTTTGTAATGCATTGCAATAGTTCTGAAGTGTTGGTGGTGTTGACCGGTTGACTATGAATTTTGTTTGCAATTCTCCACATTAATGACTACAAAGTGGACAAACAATCTGCAATTCTATAAATGTGGCTGATGTTTAAGGGGGTTATAAGAAAAGGGCCTCTATTTCTAGTAATTATGGGGAGGCGAGTTCCTCGGCCAGTCAAGGGCCCGCCGATCGAATCTCTTTAAAACTCTCTAGATGGATTCATGCCATGCTCTTCAGCAGAATTTTAGAGAAATCCATTAGGAGAATGGTTACCAGGGGTAGACCGCAGGGCGGTGTTCTCTCACCATTGATTGCGGTGAAATTCCTGCAAACAATTTCAGATGAAATGTCTAATGGATTAGGTGTAAACCTATTAAAACATAGCTAGCCCTATTCATAAAGAAACAGGAAAGTCCTGTATTCTCATCACCAATGATAGATGGAGTCACCTTACTCCTCTCTTTCGGAGGAAAATACCTCGGTACTGTTCTCGACCACCATTGGAACTGGAAGTGAAATTAGGCGATTAGGCGTAAGCCTATTAAAACATAGCTAGCCCTCTTCACAAAGAAACAGGAAGGTCCTGTATTCTCATCACCAATGATAGATGGAGTCACCTTACTCCTCTCTTCCGGAGGAAAATATCTCGGTACTGTTCTCGACCACCATTGGAACTGGAAGTGAAATACTGAGAAACATGCAGAGAGGCTTAATATCACCTTACTCTTTTAAGAACTCTATATATCTACATATAATTAAGAGGATATATGAATCAATTATTTGCCCTATCCTAGCCTATGGAGCTCTAGTCTGATGGCACTCTTTAGGTGGGGCTTTGACAAAATTCAAAGAGCCGCATTGCTCGCATCACATCTTAGGACTGCCCTTTGCTTAAGTCCATTAAGACTTTTCGTACTGAAACAGGCGATCAGGTGTGCCCTTCGACTCAGAGTGCTTAAATAATGGCGCAGCCAATCCTTAGGACCCTCTGCGATCTTAGGTCGGGTGAAATGAATAAGTGGTCAATTCAACGAATTACTTGACATTCATATACTTTACAGAGACGTCAGGACCCGTAACAATCCACCTTTATGAAGTATAGCCGTAATATGTGATATCCTTAATAGATTTCCAGGCGGCAAACGTTGCTATTAAAAATTATATACGTCGATCGTCAGGCGGCACTGAAGTCTACCATTAAGTCTGTGGCAATGTAGAAAATACTGGGTTGTCCATCAAGATCTGTTGGGTTCCAGGCCATTTTAGTATTCAGTTAATTAGACAGCAGATGAATTGTCAAGACTGACATTGAAGTTGAGAACTCGGTTAGACCACCCTGCGTCACTCCGGGAGATTCCAATAAAAATAGCTCGATGAAAGAGAATAAATGTAATGTCCTTAAGAAAGTTTGGCCTATAAACTTCGAGAAGAGTATAAAATAGCTCTTCTCCATGGCGAAACCTGTCACTGTAGTGTGAGAGTCATGACCTGTAAATGGAGTGGCGACGATACTGATTACTGTACGATCTGCCAAGGATACGATACGATAATGGACCTGCAGTACTTCGGGCAGATATACAGGGTGAGATGAAAAAACTGCAACCAACTTCAGACTGCTGTTATTTCTAAGCCAGTGCGAATAAATCTTTTGTGTCTCGTTCCGTCGCTCGTTACCGTGATACTGGTAGCGTAATCCGACGTCAAGGAAGTGGACAGAAGAAAACAGCAACATCAGCAGAAATGGTTTGAAAAGTGAAGAAGCGACATGATCACAGTGGCCGAAAAATGGCTCGTGAGCTGAACATATTGCAATATTCCATTCGGCAAATATTGGAAAATGAGCTCGGGGTTAAGCCATTGAAACTCCAAAAATTGCAAGAAATTACACCTTAGCAGAAAGAAAATAGACTTAAAAGAGCTAAAGAGTTGCTTCGCT